AAGCAAAAGTGAACTCTCGGGACCTTATCAAGACAAAATAGCTTCTGCGCAGTGAAAGAAACAATAATCAAATTAAAAGGCAACCCTCAGAATGAGAGAAGATATTTGTAAATGACATATCTGATGAAGGATTAGTGTCCAAAATCTATAAAGAATTTATCAAGCTCAATACCTAAAAAAACAAATAATCCAGTTGAAAATGGGCAGAAGACATAAATAGATATTTTTTCCAAAGAATACATACAGATGGCTAGCAAATACATGAAAAGATGTTTATCATCATTCATCATCAGGGAAATGAAAACAACAATGAGATATCACCTCACAACTGCCAGAATAACTAAAGGAAATAACACAGGAAACGACAGATGTTGGCAAGGGTGTGGAAAAAGGGAGAAACCTCTTACACTAATGGTGGGAGTGCAAATTGGTGCAGCCACTCTGGAAAACAGTATGGAGGTTCCTCAAAAAGGTCACAATAGAACTACCCCATGATCCAGCAGTTGCACTACTAGGTATTTAGAAAAGTTTACATTAACACTAATTCAGATGGACACATGCAGCTGATGTTTATAGCAGCATTATTGTGGAGAGTCCAAATATTGGACTAGCCAAATTATGGAGAGTCCAAATATCTACTGACTGATGAATGGACATCCATATGTGTTTGTGTGTGTGTGTGTGTGTGTGTGTGTGTGTGTGTGTGTGTACATACACAATGGAATATTACTCAGCCACAAAAAGAACAAAATCTTGTTATTTGCAATGACATGGATGGAGCTGGAGAATATTAGTCTATGTGAAATAAATCAGAGAAAGACAAATACCATATGATTTTATTCATGTGGAATTTAAGAAACAAAACAGGTGAACACAGGGGTAAAGAGGCAAACCGTAAAACCAACTCTTAACTATAGAGGACAAACTGAGGGTTGCTGGAGGAATGGTGGGTGACCAGATGGGTATTAAGGAGAGCACTTGTGATAAGCACTAGGTATTGTATGTAAGTGATGAATCACTAAATCCTTTTCATGACGCAAATATCACACTGTATGTTAACTAACTGTAATTTACAGTAAAAACTTGGAAGAAAATAAAAACCTTTTAGAATTTCTTTTTTTTTCTTTAAAGGAAGAGAGTTTTATTCAAGCCCAAGGAAAGACAACAGACCAAGATACACAGTCTTAACAAGGAAGAAAGTGCTCCAGAAAAGGAATGTTTAATACCGGGTTATATATGTTTTGTTTTGTTTTGTTTTGTTTTGTTTCAAGAGTCAACAAATCATCATGATGAAGGACATTTCAGAAAATTACAAACTTTATCTTATGCTTTTAGCATATGCAAGTTTGCAGGCTTCAGAGCTATAGAAATAGAACTTGGGGAGATTTTTACTCCTATCTCTAGTTCGAAATATTTCTTTTTTGGTATTTGCTACAAAACAGATGCACAATGTGTGCTCAGGGCACATATAGAGCCCATACTTTGAAGTTTGGTGAAGTCGTTCTGATTCTTATAAAAGTATAGCTTCCCTTGGAGCCCAGGAGCAGGGTCTACAAACATTAAAAGTTGAACATTTCTTTTATCACTAGACAGAAAACAACAAATGAAATTCAAAACCAGCAGAAGGAAGGAAGTGAAAAAGATGAGAGCAAAAATAGATGATATATTAACTAAAAAATCAATAGAACAGATCAGTGAAACTAGGAGCTTGCTCTTTGAAAAGATTGACAAAATTGATAAACCTTTAGCCAGACTCATCAAAGAGAGAGAGAGACAGAGGGCTCAAATAATTATAATCATAACTGAAAGAGGAAAAATAACAACCAACAGCACAGAAATACAAACAATTGTTTAAAAAATATGAAAAACTGTATGCCACAAAATTAGGGAACATAGAACAAATACAACAAATGGATAAATCCCTAGGAACACATAACCTACCAAAACTGCAAGAAGTAGAAAACTGGAACATACTGATTACCAGCAAGGAGACCGAGTCAGTAATCAAAAAAACTCCCAGCAAACAAAAGTCCAGGATCAGTTGGCTTCACAGGAGAATTCTACCAAACATTTAAAGAAGAGTTAATATGTATTCTTCTTGAAATATTCCAAAAAAATAAAAGAATAAAGAAAACCTCTAAATTCATTCTATGAGGCCAGTATCACCCTTACACTAAAGCAAGATAAAGGCACCAGAAAGAGAGAGAGAGAGAGAACGCTACAGGCCAATATCCCTGCTGAGCATACATGCAAAAATACTCAAAAAATATTAGCAAACCATAACCAACAATATATTAAAAAAATCAACTACCACAATCAAGTGGGATTTATTCCTGGGATGCAAACGTGGTTCTATATTCTCAAATCAACCAACATGATGTATCACAACAATAAGACAATTGATAAAAACCATATGATCATTTCAATAGATGCAGAAAAAGTGCTTGACAAAATACAGTATCAAATCATGATAAAAGCCTTCAAGGAAGTAGGTTTAAAAGGAATATATTTTAGCATAATAAAAGCCATATTTAAAAAACCTACAGCTAACTTCATACTCACTGGGAAGAACCTGAAACCTTTCTTCCTAAGGTCAGGAACAAAATAAGGATGTCCTCTCTCACCACTTTTATTCAATGTATTATTGGAAGCCCTAGCTATAGCAGTTAAACAACAAAGAAATAAAAGGTTTCCAAATAGGTAAGGAAGAAGTAAAACTTTCACAATTTGCAGATGACATGATGTTCTAATTAGAAAACCTGAAAGACTCCACCAAAAGCCTTCTAGAACTTATAAATGAATTCAGTGAAGTTGCAGAGGCAAAATCAATGTGCAGAAATCTGTTACATTTCTGTACACTAATAATGAAGAGGCATAAAGAGAAATAAAACAATCTGATTTATAACAGCACCAAAAATAAGATAGCTAGAAATAAACCTAACAAAGAGGTGAAAGACCTGTAGTCTGAAAACTATAAAACACCAGTGAAAGAAATTGAAGATGATACAAATAAATGGGAAAACATTCCATGTCCATGGGTTGGAAGAATGAATATTGTTAAAATGTCTCTACTACCCAAACAAATATACATATTTAATGCAACCCATATGAAAATACCAACAACATTTTTCACACAACTAGAACAAATAATCCTGAAATTTATATGGAGCTACAAAAGACCTCAAATAGCCAAAGCGATTTTGAAAAAAGAAAGCAAGGCTGGAATTATCACAATTCTAGACTTCACATTAAATTATAAAGTGATAGTAATCAAAACTTTATGGTACTAGCACTAAAATAGACACATCAGTCAATAGAACAGAATAGCAAACCCAGAAATAAACCCATAATTATATGTTCAGTTACTTTTGACAAAGCAGGAAAGAATATCCAATGGGGAAAAGACAGTCTCTTTAACAAAAACTGATCAACTACCTGCAAAAGAAAGAAACTAGACCACTTTCTTACACCATAAACAAAAATAAATTTAACATGGTTTAAAGATCTAAATGTGAGACATGAAACCATAAAAATCCTAGAAGAGAGCACAGGCAGTAATGTCCCTGATATCAGCATAGAAACTTTTTTAGGTATGTCTCGTGAGGCAAAGGAAACCACAGCAAAAATAAACTATTGGGACTATATAAAAATAAAAAGCTTCTACACAACTAAGGAAACAGTCAACAAAAGTCAAAGACAACCTACTGAATGGGAGAAGATATTTGCAAGTGACATATCTGATAAAGGGTTAGTATTCAAATTATGTAAAAAACTGAAACAACTCATCACCCCAAAAGGCAAAATATCCAATTTAAAAAAAATGGATAGAATACATGACAGACATTTCTTCAAAGAAATACAGTTGGCCAACAGACAAATGAGAGAATGCTCAATATCACTCATCATCAGCAAAAATCAAAACCACAATTAGATACCATCTCACCCCTTTCAGAATGGCTAAATTAACACAAGAAGCAACAGGTACTGGCTAGGATGTAGAGAAAAAGGAATGCTCTTGCACTATTGGGAATGCAAACTGGTGCAGCCCCTGTGGAAGAAGTGTGGAGGTTTCTCAAGAAGTTAAAATTGAACTATCCTATGATCCAATAATCACACTACTTGATATTTACCCCAACATTCCAAAAACATTAATTCAAAAGGATATATGCACCCCTACATTTATAACAGCATTATTTGCAATAGCCAAGATATGGAAACATACCAAGTGTCCATCGCTAGATAAATGGGCAAAGAATATGTGGTGTGTAAGACACACACACACACACACACACACACAAAAGAATGAAATCTTGCCATTTGCAAAGACACAGATGGAGATGGAAGATACAATGCTAAGTAAAATAAGTCAGTCAGAGAAAGACAAATACAATGTGGTTTCACTCATATGTGAAATTTAAGAAACAAAACAAATGAGCAATGGAAAAAAAAACAGAGACAAACCGAGAAACAGACTCTTACCTATAGAGAACAAATTGATGGTCACCAGAGAGGAGGTTAGTGGGTGGATGGGTTAAATAGATGGTGGGGATTAAGAAGTGCCTTTGTTTTGATTAGCAGTGGGTAGTGATGTATGGGATTGCTGAATCACTATATTTGTACACCTGAACTAACACTGTATGTTAACTAAGTGGAATTAAAATAAAAACTTGAAAAAATAAAAAAAATAAAATCCAGTGCCAGAATTTTATTGCTGTAGTGTTTTCACTTTTGTGAGGAGCAGTGTTCTGTCATTACCATTTTTTAATAGAATTTCACTACTATTCCTACTTATATTTTTCTATACAAATGTTTATAGTTTGTCTACTTCCCAAATAATTTATTTTATTATAAAAATTATGAATCAATTTAGGAAAGATTCACATTGTTACCATTTTAATATTCCTAGGTAAGGACAAGATCTGTTTTTTCATTTCTCCAAAACTTATTTTGGAATTATCAGTAAACCTTTTTTTTTCTCTCCATTTTTCCTGTGTTTATAGCAAGATGGATTCTGGATATACTCTGAATATTGTAACAACCACCTGGATGCCTGCATGGAACTCTCCAAACTAATGAAGGACAGCCGCTACCAGCACTTCTTTGAGGCCTGTCGCCTCTTGCAGCAGATGATCGACATTGCTATTGATGGTTTCCTTTTGACTCCTGTGCAGAAGATCTGCAAGTATCCCTTACAACTGGCTGAGCTCCTCAAATATACTGCCCAGGACCATAGGTAAAAGAAAAAAGAAAGCAGGGGTTAGGAGAGCCTCATCTACATGTTGGTCTTTATTGAGAACATATGTCCTTTAGCTTTTTTGAGCTTCCTTCTGTTAACTTCTCTGCACAATGGGATGGTAATATATCATTGCTTACCTCGCAAGGTTATTCTATGTGTAAAGCTTGTGAGAGTTTCTTATAAACATGGGAATCACAATGCACAAAAAATCAGTATGCATTATCATTATGGCACAACTTAACACCGTGCCTTTAGGGAGCTTAACTGGGTCCTTAGCCCTAGGTTTAGCTAAGGGAAATAATCTAGATGGAATAATTGTTCAGCTGTCTATTCTTCTCTGTTTGATAGATTCAATATCCTAGTAACAGCCTACATAACTTGTACTGACCTTAGATTTCTTCTGCAAGCCTATATCTCTGGTATTCTTTAGTCTTTTCCACCCTCTTCTGGCTCATCCCAACTATGCCTTCTCTCTTAAAAAAAAAAAAAGATTTTATTTATTTATTTGATAGAGATCACAAGTAGGCAGAGAGGCAGGCAGAGGGAGAGGGGGAAGCAGGCTCCCTGCTGAGCACACAGCCTAATGCAGGACTCTATCTCAGGATCCTGAGATCATGACCTGAGCCGAAGGCAGAGGCTTAACCCACAGAGCCACCCATGTGCCCCTATTGTGCCTTCTCTGTAGACTCATAGCATGACTGGGGAGTAAAGAGACTTAAGACGTCTCCTGAAGTTTATTTTTTTAAATTTTTCAGTAATATTTTTTTAAAGAAAACCAACCCCAAAATGACCAAGAAGCTTATCTCTCTCTGAATGGAAATGACCTACCAGTAAATGAGCCTACCAGTGAAGTATATGCTGAGAGTCATCTCCAGCAATGAGTGAACCACCCCCCTACTCTTTCACATGCTTTACTTTATGATCTAGAGCCCTCAGCCTTTTTATAGCCTGACTTTAATTAGTATTAAATCCCTGATCTTTGACTCATTCAGCTCTCTTCTCGATTGAACCTTCCAAGAAGAAAGAAGACTATTGTCCAATTTCCCTTAGCTTTCTGTCTAATTCTCATTAGACCCACTTCTTACTTTCACTTGACTCCATTATCTGGTTTCCTTGGAGCTGACTTCCATACCTAGTTGTAAAAGGCCATGGGTATGGGTCAGTTGGTTTTCTTTATGTTAAGCTCAGGGCCAGTCCCTGGGTTCATTTTTAAGTTGATGGTGTTTCTTTAGCAAATAATGGTCATGTGCTTTAGTTTCCGGAGCCTTGGACAAATTTCAGATTTGAATCCAAATGTGGTAACACTGGACTCTCCCTTTGTGTGAAAATACCACCATTGGTAGTTCTGCCTGCCATGCTGTGTTGGCTGTGAGGGAGGTAGGTAGTGAAAAACCATGAGAGACTCTTGACTCCAGGAAAAAAACTGAGGGTTGCAGAAAGGGAGGTGGGTAGGGGATGGGGTAACTGGGTGATGGGCATTAAGGAGGACACATGATGTGATGAGCACTGGGTGTTATACGCAACTAACAAATCATTGAACATTACATCAAAAACTAATGATGTATTATATATTGACTAATTGAATTTAAAAAAAAAAGAACAAACGTAAGGTTTTGCAGTTTGGTCTAAGAAATCAAGACGGAGACAGAGTTCAAGGACAGCTTAGAGAGATGCAGCTTCTAGACAGGCTATTTTTAAAATATGTTTATTTCAGAGAGCAGGAAAGCAGGGAGAAGGGCAGAGAGAGAAGCTGACTCCCCACTAAGCAGGGAACCTGATGTGGGGCTTGATCCCAAGACTCTGGGATCACGACCTGAGCCGAATGCAGACACGTAACACATCAAGCCACCTAGATGCCCCTAGATAGCATAATTTAAAGAGATTTAGGAAGATTAGTCAACCATGAGTTCAATATAAGTCAGCAGTTGGGTACAGAAGAAAAACTGATAATAACTAACATTTATTAAGACTCAGAATAAATAAGACTTTAAGAGAGTTTTTTTTTTTTTTTTTTTTTTTTAGCTAAGTTGTCTTGAGACAGAATAAACTGGTTAGGATGTACAGTGAGCATCCCACCATTGGAGGTGATAAAATTTAGTAGCACTTGAAGACTATGATCTGGCAGGTATTCACAGAACACAGGAGACCATCTAAGAGGGAGTGCTACATGGTCTGACCTGGCAGTTAGAACTGCCTTCTCTGTGCCTCTTATTATTCAACCACCCCACACTTCAGTGTATTAGAAAAGAAAAAGACAATTGCTGTGTATGTCTTTTTCCTCCTTTTTTTTTTTTCTAATTAGTGCTGGGACAGTGAGCAGGTTAATGACCACAAAGCATGCTTAGCTTTTCTAAGGAAAGATTAGTTAAGGCTGAATCATAATTCATCCTCTTGCCCTCTCTGTCTATTGTAACTCCACCAAATGGCTGGAATCTCACTTTATTTTTTTTTAATGTATTGATTTGACAGAGAGAGATCACAAGCAGGCAGGCAGAGAGAGAGAGAGAGGAGGAAGCAGGCTCCCCACTGAGCAGGGAGCCCAATGCGGGACTCGATCCCAGGACCCTGAGATCATGACCTGAGCCGAAGGCAGAGGCTTTAACCCACTGAGCCACCCAGGCGCCCCTGGAATCTCACTTTCAATCTGCTTTTCATAGGGACAATTTGATTGGAAGTCAGATCAGACAGGCAGAGACAATTGGGCAGGACAATATAAACTTTAACAAGTAGGCTATCCAAAGTCCCAGGAAACTGAGCCTAAAGTTGCACTTCTGGGACTAGAGGTTTTGAGAGGTAACCCATGTGGTGTATATTCTAGAGAAATGTTTCATTTGTACTAATAATACTGCTAATATTTACTATAGGCCAGGAGTAAAACAGTTTATGTGGATGATTAAACCCTCAACAAACCCTCCTATAATTCTCCCATTTCACATATGAATAAACTGAGTCACTGAGAGAGTCAATGAGGCTTGCCAAAGACCACTACTCAGTGACAAAACTATGGTCTGAGCCAAAGAGTATAGATCCAGAGTCTTTTCTTAGCCACTGTGCTACATACTATCTGTATATCATACTGGAGGAAAAGAGTAGATATTATTTCACAGTGATTTTGGGTAGAGTTCTCTAGAAATATGCAGTAGAAGAGATGGCAAAGCTCTGGACCATTCCAGGTATAAGGTTCCCTTCTTGATCCTTGGCTGATTTTATCAGATTGGATACAAAAATAGAGCTATAAGAAAGATAGGGGTCTATTTCCCTTTTATGTAAAAAAAAAAAAAGTCTGCAGGTAGGCAGTCCATGACTGCTGTGGTAGCTCAGTGGTCATCAAAAACTTGGGCTCCTTCCAACTTTCTGTTATCTCTCCCTAGGAGTAGGGACTTTTTCTTATGGTCCAAGATAACTGCTGGAACTTCAACCATCACATCTACATTCTAAGCATCAAAATAGAGTAAGGGCTAAAGAAGCATATGTTATCTTCCTTAAAGGAGGTTTCTGAAAATCTCTGCCCAGAATTTCTATTTGCATATCACTTGACTCATCACATAATCACCCATTATTGTAAAGAGATAGGAAATGTAATATTTTACTCAATGTGGCATGGGTTCCATCTGAAAATCAGGGCTCTGTTACTAAGTAGGGAGAGAAGAATAGATGTTAGGGTAGGCACACAACACATTGGTTCTCTAACACATTGATACATCCAACTTGTACTTTTGTGTCTTCACAGTGACTACAGGTATGTGGCAGCTGCTCTGGCTGTCATGAGAAACGTGACTCAGCAGATCAATGAGCGCAAGCGGCGTTTGGAGAATATTGACAAGATTGCCCAGTGGCAGGCATCTGTCCTAGACTGGGAGGTAGGATCCTCATGAACAAGGGCACTGGGTAGTCTGAATAGCTTAGCTAGAACATCACATCTTCGCCAAAGATGGATGAAAATGAATTAAATTTAAAGAGCAGCAGAAAGGATTTAGATTAGAGCCAAGGCAAAACTTTCTACGAATGAGAGGTGTTGTGTATTTGAGTAGCTTTCTAAGAAGGTTGGAAAAATCTTTGAGGCAACACTTCATTAAGAAAAGAAAGGTTCATCTCTTTGGGTGTTGCCAGGAAAACAGATTGGATCAACTCAATAGACTTTTAAGCTCCTTTCCAGTCCTGGAGTTTTATCACCTCCAGGTGAACGCTTGATTAAGAAGTAGTATGTACTAATTCACTCCCAGACACAGAATATAAAGTTGGTTCTCTCTCTGGTGCAGGACAACCAACATACATCTTTTTTCCATTGGTGAGATTACCTTGCCCTGACACATTTACTAGTTCTACCCAAGCTTGCACCCTTGAGGCCGAGGTCATCATTCCTGCCGAATTGACAGATCAAATTCTGTTTTTTATCATTTGCTTATAAAAATAATTCCCGAAACCCTCCTATTTCATTGGAAACAGCCACAACTTCTCTGAACTCAGAAAGTCTTCAGTGAATGAGGTCACTAAAGACTTATTTCCTAGACACTCACTTGCAAAAGCTATATACAGCCTAACAAATAAATTGAGATTTTGCTTCTGTTCATCCCACTGCTCTGTTGAGGTTCTTTGGGTTTCTGTTCAATAGAAACAGAGCTGTGAATTATAAGGCTTCATAGGTAGGTGTGTTGAGTACACCATTTAGTGTTTATCTCTTGTGCCCACCAAGAGAACCAGGGGTCATTGCATTTCACATTTATCTCTCAGATGCAGATTGTGAAATCTGACAGTCTGTAGGCTAACATAACCAAGATGGGAAAGGCTGGTCATGCTACCAGGAAGTGGTCAGAGCAAACTTAAGCTTCATAGTCACAGTGTAGAAGTCGAACCAGTTCCCTATTCTACTTGCCTCAATTCTGGTATCAGAATTGAGAATTGATTGAGAGGTAGTATCTCCCTAGCATTTCAAGCAGTAGCACATTTTAAGAAGATTTTAAGAAGATTAAGCATCAGCCTTGCAAACAGCTATTTTACTTAAGTCCAGGAAAAAAAATCATCTTTTATTTATTCTGCTGCCTCTGATCCTTCTTAATGTAGATGGCTGTTAAAGACCACAGTTCTGAGCATTTGGCATATTTTTTAGTCTTCTTTAAAGGATAATGTTGCCATAAGAGTAGAAAACAGGAGTGATTGAGATGAAGAGAACGGAATGAATCTATATAAAGAGACCCTGTTGCTATTAAGAGGAAACCAACACTGGCCCAGACTATTACGGAATCATGGTTCTCCTTCCCTTGTGTCTGACTTACTTTGGCTAGTTGCCTGATCAAAAGCAAAAAGCTAGACTAAATTACCTCTAACAAGCCCATCAACTCCCAGGGACTCTGAAATTGTGTCTGGTTATCAGGCCTCTTTTTCTCTACTCCTGCAGGGTTCTCTGTAAAAGGAGGTTCCCAGAAGCAGTTGTTTTCATATTCCCTGGCACATTTTCCCTCTTCCTATGCTTACGAGATCTAATTCCTCCATATGCTCTGAGCATCAAGTAATTGAAGGTAGAGCCATGGAGGACCAGGAATAGCTTGAAATTCCTTGGCCTATCCAGGGAACCTTATTAATACCAAACTCAAAAACACTGAACTGTGATTTAAAGACTCACCATCTAAGAAAGAATTTCATATGCTTTTGTCTAGAAGTGGGGGATGGGAAACAAAATGGCAATTTTGAGCCAGGATCAATGGGAGAATAGTTACTCTCTGCCTCCTTTGTTAGCATAATCATGCTAATCTCAACCAAGCCTATATGTATAACCCTGACACCCTGCTACTTGGTGAAGTCCTTCTTCATCTAATTTGGTAAGAAGAAAAATTCCTTATGATTCCTTTTTCAGACTCTGGGTTCACTGTGGAATGTCCTAGCTCTAGAGGAAGCTTTTTTCCATCTAACCCTGATGGGTACATTTGAGAGGGCAGACCTAAAGTGTCTCATGTTTGTCATATCTAGTCTTCAAGACTTCTAGAATGTCAATCACCAGGGCTTTTAGGGGACTACTCTCCCCATCAACAATTCTGTCCAGGGACATACACACACACGCACACACACACACACACACACACACACACACACACACATACACACACATGTAATGATGGTGAAAGTCTGAGAAGCCTATTCTTGACCAAGACCACAAAGCTAAAATTTTAATCTGTTCTCCAGATTCTCTCTGTGATATTCTTTTCACTGCTGCCTACATACTCTTTTCAACCTTCTGCTTCCCACACCCCAGTTGCTTTCCTTTGTGATGCTGCAGGGACTTGTTTTTGCAGTAAAAGGTCCATATCTAAGCAGGCAGTAAGAATTCCTTGGGGAAAATATCCAAACCCTAGTATGGCTAAAGGTTGATGAGTACTGGAGGACCACCCTGAAAAGGCAATAAGACATATCCACTCCATGGCTTGCTAGCTATTGACATAAGTAGCCAAACCTTACTGGTTCCCTGGTAGAGGTTCTTTGTATGTTCTACTTGTCCAAGCAGTTGCACAAGCAAAGAAAGGTCCCACCAGCTTGCTGAGGGCTGCTGTGGACAAGCCTTGCAAATCAAGAAAATGATTTATTGCCTTCCCCCAGAAGTTTGAACAAACAGGGTGGCTGTCAAAGCATCCACATGATAATTTCAGCTTTATTTGTCAAACTAAAAAGAAGAGTCATAGGGGAAATCTTCAGGGCTTAATCTACTTTGAAGAGGAATTGGGAAAGATCATTGAGGGTTGGCAGCATACAGGCAATTGATACCTACTCAGTAAATCAGAATATCTGAATAGAGAGTAGGAGGCCTTGTTTTATATCCAGACCTGATGCCCAGGGCTCCTAAAAAATAAATGGATGAGTAAAAGTATCATCCATACATCAAAGTAATAATCCATACCTTAGAGCGGCTGAGAAAGCAACAGAGAGAAGAATCTGTTCTCATAGACTATAATTTTAGGGAAATTTACATTTCTAATATCTCTGATGCTGATGGTTGGTTGAGTTGTCACATTGCTACCCTTCACACTCATTAGATCCACTTGAAAGTAAGTGAAAAGGAACATATCCCTGGCAGCTTCCTTTTAATCTCCCGCCCCACCAGAGATTTTTACCATGAGCCCAAATTTGTAGCTCATGTTTGAGAATTTGACTGTATATGATTGTGGTGACACCACTCCCCTAACAGCCTGCTTGTGTAATACCCAAAGACCAGTTCCAGTTTACCATTGGATAATTCAATCCAAAACGTCAGAGGAAACACAGACACCCAACATCATAGAAACAGAAAAACATCTATTTAAAAAGCTAAGGTAGTTTGATGAGGCATACTTCTGGGGCCAGGAGATCAAGTGTAAAGCTGGCTGGATTTGTTATTTCCCTGCTATCCTGTGAATAGGCAGCATTGAAAATGAACTATATGAAAAGTAGGTTATTTCCCTTGTCCTTCTTTCCCTAGATCTGTTCAGGCTACAGCCTCACCTCAGAAAAATCAGCCTATAACTAGAATGAGGTGTTGGACATTGGGCTATTGAGATGAATGAATGGCCTTGGTTTTACACTGGGACAAATATGTTCCAGGCAGAGGGAACAGTGTATGCAAATTCCTGGAGGAATGAAAGAAAACAGCATGTACGTAGGGGAGGTGGCAATGGGAAGGGATTGTACTTTTGGGGGCAAGGCAAAGTAAATGTATGGTGCAAGTGGGGTAGAAGAGGCAAAAGGTGAGAAATCTGAACTCTGAGAGGACCATTTCCCTTGTATGATCTGATTTTTGCTCTCAAGCAGCCATGTGAAGTGAAACAAGCAGGAACTGTTATATTATCCATTATTCAATTGAGAAAATAGATTGAGAGTGTTTAAGCTACTCCCCAAGGGTACAGAGTGAGTTGATGACAACACTGGGCCCAGAACCCAAGTCTTCGGAGATTCTCACTGCATAAATCTTTCAAGGTAGCTAGTTGTTCCACTAAGGATTATCATTATACTGTTCTTTGCTGGCTTTGGAGGGAGTCTGGCCTGGATTCTGGATTCTGGATTCTTTGGGCAACTTACTTCCAATTTCTCTGATCTTGGTTTTGGGGGTAATAACAGTACATTCCTCATTGGGTTCTTGTGAGTATTAATGGGAATATGTGACATAGGATATAGAATGCACAATGATAATCAAGAGAACTTACAGCGTGAAGTGTACTTTCCTAAGCACTTTACATGTTTTAACTTACATAATCTACACAACAGCCAAATGAGATTGGTACTGTTATTACCTTCATTTTAAAGATGACAGTCAGTGTAGGGAATGCATTTTGAAGATGAGGAAATGTAGTGCAGCTCACTGTCATCCTCCCTAGGCACAATTTGACCTTTTCCAGGGTTCAGATTGTCTGCAATTGGCAGGACTTGGCTATAGCCAGCACCAGTGCGGAGTTGTCAGTGGTCTGCTGATCTCTTCCTTCAGAGCAGCTGGCCAGCCCAGACACAAGATGGCCCTCCATCTCCCTCTAGATTCACAGTCTTTGCAGACTCAAGCTCCACTTGAAGTTCACTCAGTAATATACTTTACATGCCTTTTATACTCTTTTGATTACCTTTTTTGTAGAAATAAAAATTGTTCTTAGAATTAAAAAAAAAGTGAAGATGAGGAAACTGACACACAGAGAGGTGACATCAATCAGCTTGGTGAGCATAAGGGTGTTTTCTTTCTTCCTCTCTTCTCCTTTCTTTCTTTCTCTCTTCCTTCCTTTTACTTACTTACTTTACTTACTTTTACTTACTCTTTACTTACTTACTTTACTTTACTTACTCTTCCCTTTACTTACTCTTCCCTTCCTTACCCTTCCCCCTTCTCTTCCCTTCCC